AAATGTTAAATCTGCTTTCTTTCCACAGACTTGCTCAGTTTCTCCAGCAATTTCTGTTTTGTTTTTAGATTTCCAGCATCTGCAGTTCTTCGTGTTTTTAGGGAGAAAATGGGAATAGTACTGAGTTGGGTAATCAGCCAGGATCATGTTGAATGGTGGAGCAGACTCGAAGGGCTGAATGACCTCCTCCTGGTTCTATTTATTTCTATAAATGTTGCAGCAAGTAACTCCCAGGTCTGACTCTCATAGCCTGTCCGCCATCTACAAGGCAGAAGATGGAATAATGCCCACTAGGTTAGATCAGTGCAGCTCCTTCCGAATCTATGACTATACCACCTAGAAGGACAAGGGCAGTAGATATATGTGACACCACCGTCTAAAAGTTACCCAGCAAGTCACTCACGTCCTGACTTGGAAATATATCGCCATTCCTTTAGTGTTGTTCTGTCAAAATCCTGGAACACCCTCCTTAATGCATTGTGTGTCTACTTACAGCAAATAGAGTGCAGCTCACCACCATCTTCTGTAGGGCATGTAGAGATGGGCAATAAATGATGGCCCAGCCAAATGATGTCCACAGCCCATAAATGAATATTAAAAAAAAATCTTTCCTCATAAGACTTGTAGTTCCAGCAACTTTGTGATGAATTTTAAAAAAACTTTTGACATGTACAAACAAATCTCAGACTGTCTGTGAGATGCCTCTGGGCCCAAATATTTGTATTCAACCATCCAGTTCATGGCAATGCGACATTAGTTGCAAAGCTGTGACATTAACATTTCTGATTGGTTTTGGTTTCCAAATGCTCAAGAGCACAATCAAGTTAATTATATAATATAGGCCATAGAGTGAAATGCAGATTGTCCCAAATGAAGTACACGATCCATTATCACGTAACTGAAAGGATCACAGCTATAGAAAAGTGTCACACCAGGCTTGAAAAGTTAACTCTGAATCTCTTTCTACAGGTGCTGCCAGACTTGCCAAGTTAGTCAGCGTTCTCTGTTTTTTCTCTGGACTTCCAGCATCCACAGTATTTTGCTTTTACTAAAATGTAGTTGCTAAATTTGGATTGTAGAGCCTAAGTTTTTTAATTTCTCTTGTGCAGTAGTTTCTTGGATGCAGTAAACAATTGAAGAGCACCAGCTGCTGAATTTATGTCAAGCCTGTTGTTTTTTTTTAACTTTTGCTTGAGTTCTCTACAGAGAATAGTTAAAGTTCAAGCACAGTAGGCCACATCGAGTGGTAACTTTAATTAGCACTAGCATTGGTATTAAGAGCAAGCAGGAAAGTTGGATCAGACTCAATGGCTCCTGACAATAAGCATTGCTCTTCTGAGTACAGAACATAACGAAATGCAGCAATTTGCTAATATTTTTAGTCATGCTAGAGCTCAGATAGTTACCTTTGATTAAAAACTGCAAGTGAAGCTGTCTGCCTGTTCCCCAAAAAAGCATTGTGTCTTCTTCTCTATCTAAGAAGAACTGAAAGAAGATTGTCTGAGGTATATTTCCTGCTGTGAATGATTTAAATAAAATGGTTACCTCTCAAATTGGATCAAGCCATCCAGTAACCTTGAGATTTAAAACACAGAGAATGCTTGTTGATTGAGAATATACCTCTGAACTCTCTCTGTTTAAAGCCTGGAATATAAAAAAATCAATGGATTGTAACTGCATTGAGTCATAGAGATGCACAGCATGGAAACAGGCACCTCCGTCCAATTCATCCATGCCAACCAGATATCCTAAGTTAATCTAGTTCCATTCAACAGTATTTGGCCCGTATCCCTCTAAACCCTTTCTATTCATATACTCATTCCAAATACCTTTTATACAGGTCATTTATAAAGATCACAAACAGCAGAAGCCCCAGAACAGATCCCTACGGAACACTACTGGTCACTGAGCTCCAAACTGAATTCTTTCCATCTACTACCACCCTCTGTCTTCTATTGGACAGCCAATTCTGTATCCAGACAGCCAAATTTCCCTGAATCCCATGCCT